CCTGGAGGCCTTTTAAAAGCCTCATGCCCAGACTCCACCCTGTGCCAATCACATCAGATCCTCCGGGGGTGGGACCCAAGGGATCTATGGTTTTTACTGCTTCTCAGGTGATGCCAATATATCTACAGCCAGGGTGAGAACACACTGTTCCGAATATTCTGTTTCAGTTTGTTTGGGGTGGGTCGTAGGCATGAATCATTTTTAAATGCACTCCAGATCATTTTAGTGTGCAGCCAAGGTTAAAAACTGATGACTATCAGGTTTTGAACTTTTCTGAACTTCCCCAAGTGTACTTATTCAATACCCTTTAGCCTACAGATTCAGGCTTTCCCCACACTAGATCCAGGCCAATTTAGACCAAGGTTGTTAGGTATGGTCTCATGAGAATTTATATGACTACACATAAAGTTCTAATCTAGCGGTTTTCAACCTGTGGGTCGCGACACCTTTGGCTGTCGAACGACCCTTTCACAGGGGTCGCCTAAGACCATCCTGCATATCAGATATTTACAATATGATTCATAACAGTAGCAACATTACAGTTATGAAGTAGCAATGAAAATAATTTTATGGTTGGGTCACAACATGAGGAACTGTATTTAAAGGGCCAGAAGGTTGAGAACCACTGCTCTAATCCTTGCCTTTCTGAACCAGTCTCATTCATTAATTTATCGTTCATCCACCAAATGCGTACCAGACACCTAATACTTTTAAGTAATCTCCACTAAACTATGGATACAATGACAAATATAATATTGTTCCTGATACCTCAAGAGGCTTATAGATTTGCACGGGCATCTTTTTTTTTTTTTTTTTGCAAACAGTATTGCAGAGAGAATTATTACAGTGGGTGAGTGAACAAAGACCTGTAGGAATACAGATATGGTAGCAACTAAATCTGCCCTGGAAAAACAGGGAAGATGTGCCTAAGGAGATGCTATTTAAGCTAAGTCTTCCCAACACGACCTAAAGCACCCTCATGATGTGATTTCTCTCTACCTCATCTCTTGCTACTCTTGCCCTGGTTTCAATTTCAGCCATACTGAACTCCTCTCAGTTCTTTGAAAGCCCACACTCTCTTGACAAGACTTCAATTTGCATTTATTTTCCTGGAACATTCTTCCTTTTTTCCCCACCTGCACCTCCTACCTAAACTCTGCTTAGCTGCTGTTACTGCCACAAAGAGGTCTGATCTCATGGATGATGATAAATGTCTTTATTATATGTGCATGCACTAACTTGCAGCAATTCTTTTATAGCACACACTCTCTTTATTGCATGTCTGTGACCTCTCAAATCTGTAAGTTCCATGAAAGCAAGAGCAATTGGCTGACTCCTTTACCACTGTGTGTCCTTCACACAGCACAGTTCCTAACACTCCTAGATGAAGGAATAAATTGCATTCCAAGAACAGGGGCTGTTATGTACAGAGCCGTAGAGGCGTGGGATTCTGTGGCATATCCTAGAATAACAAAACTTTTGGGTGGCCAATGTATAAGATGGGCAAGAAGAGGATTCTAGAGGTGAGTTAGAAGAGGCAGTTGTTAAGGGTCTTGTGTGCAACCAACCCTAAGTGGTCTGAACTTCATCCTGGAGGCAGGGAGAAGCCAGAGAAGGTTTTATAAGGGGGAGTAGAATAATGAGGTTTATCATCCAGAACAATCATTCTGGAAGCAGTGTGGAGGACGGACTGAAAAAGAAAAGATTGACTTAAAGAACAGTTAGGAGATGTTTTAGTACTATGGGTAAGAAATAATAAAGGCTTCCCTGAAGTGATGAATCAAAGGGGCTCTGTTCAAAAAGCATTTTTGAGATAAAATCTATAGCACTTACTGACTAACTGCTTGTGGGGGTGATTGTGAGAGAGGATGCCATGGCCTAGCTTGGAAGACAGGCTGGGTGGAAATATGGAGTATAGGCAGAGAAGAGCTAGTTTCAGGATTTTCTTTTTAAAAAGCTCGTTTTTAAACATGTTGATAGTTTCATATATCTGAGGAATATAGGTGTAGAGACTTTTGTGCAATTAGAAATGCATACAATTCTTAGCTTGGTACCTTATTGATTATGGATGTGGCTGGTATTGTCCAATTGACTATGTTGACTTTCAGCTTTTGTACAAACAGACAAACTTTAGAAAAGGCAGTGTCGCATTGATTTCATGATTTGTGCTTCTTTGGGGCGCCATTGGCAATCCATTTGGCAATATGTCAAGGGAAAAATCTTCATTTAAATCACTTATTGGTTACATTCTTTGGTTAGATGTGGGGGTTCTTGTTCCAGCATTAAAAAGGGTTTCAGCAATCTGGAAAAGGGGCTGTGTGTAACTTAAGTAAGAGTCCAGAGACGAAATATAATTTTGAAAGGCATTTGGGGGTCAGGGGAGCCTAGCTAAAAGGAGCTAAGATCTCCTGGTCTCAGGACCCCATGCTTTTTATTAACACAAATTGTCCTGAGGCGAGGGAGCCATATACACTTCAAAGGGTAGGGTTTTGTATACACAGTCCATTGTCAGAATGGGGAGAATTAGCCTACGGCTGTTCAGGTGTTTGGCCAGTAGGAGGCAATAACATGTAGATTAAGATGCCCTGAGCTGTCTGGCAGCAAACAATTAATTTAATGCATTCTTTTCAGGTTTGGGGAAATGCCCTTGCCACTCCAGATGATTCAGCCCTGCTGAACATGCTGGAATTGGCTTCCGGCAGTTAGATACATACACCTATGAAAATCCCACCTGAATTTTGAGGTGATAACGATTTTATTTTAGGTAACTATGCAGTAATAATTCTTGCTCATTTGATAGTTCAGAAAGGAAGTGTCTTATTGTTCTTGTTAAACTTAGTACCACATCTAATAGGAACACAAATAAATTAGTGGCTGACTGGCTGGCTGAATTTATAATCTGACGGCAAGGGATATGGAATACTTTCTAAAACTAAACATTTAGGAATTGAAAACCTCTATTCTTGTGTGTGTGTGTGTGTGTGGGTGTGTGGGTGTGTGTGTGAATCCTCACCTGAAGATATTTTTCCCATAGAGAGAGTGGAAGGGAGGGAGAAGGAGAGAGAAAGAGAGAGGCACAGAGAGATAGAAAGAGACCAGGGATCCAAACTGCAACCCAGGTACGCACCCTTGACTGGGAATTGAACTCATGAACCTTTGTTCTGAGGGCTGAGGCTCTAACCTCTTAGCAGCCAGCCGGGGAGAACACCTCTATTCTATACATAAACACCTAAGTGACTTTTCAGTGAGTTATTGACTAAATACAGCAACAGAAGTAGAAGAGATCATGATAAGCATTACTAAAAAGGCCTTTCATCAAATTATTTTCTCTTGGCAATGCAAAACCAACCTGGGAATTTTAAAGCTATGGCCATAAAATGCTATGTTTCTTGATACAGTAAATTATTATATTGTTTGTTCAGTGAAAGAGAAGCATTTAAATTGTTATTAAAAACTCTTTTGCTTGGTACTGTCCTAAAAGCTGGTAGTGGGTACATGATCAGATTTTTATTTTAGGAAGATCACTTTCTGAACCATAAGAGGCTGGAGGAGAAAAAAATGATTCCAGTTGGACAGAAGAGAGATGATGATGAGGGCCTGGAATAATGCAATGGCAGTTAAATGGAGAGAGGCCATTAACTAATTCATTCATTATCAAATATGTATTCACTGAATTGTACCAGACTCTGGGGATGCAGTGATGATCAAACCAGATAAATTCCTACCCTCTAGAAGTTTAGAGACAAGTTTAAGAGATGTACATTAATCAAATCACCTATATACTAGTATATAAAAAGCCAGCGACCAGAACACCACAAAGACCAGAATGACTGGTTGCTATGACCCACTGTGGCCAGCGAACCAGCTCGATTGAGGGGTGCAGGGGGCTGGGGAAGGGGGAAGGCCAGCTAGCCAACCGCCTGCCCCCCCTCCCCCAGCTGTCCCCACTCCCGATCAGCCCCCACCACACTAATTGGCCAGCGGCCCCTTCCCCCAGCCAGTTCTGATCCCAATTCCCTCCCCCCCCCCACCAATCGGGGTGGGGCTGGCTGGCCAACTTCCCCTGGTTCCTCCCCTGGCCACTGACCCCAGATTGGCCCCCCCATCTCATTCGAGGGTGGGGCCTACCAGCCCACCACCCACAGCCCCTCCTAATGGCCAGCCCCACTCCTGATCAGCCCCCACCATCCCGATTGACCTGTGGCCCCTCCCCCCAGCCAGCTCTGCCCCCGATCAGCCCCCCCACACCAGTTGGGGGTGGGGCTGGCCAGCCAACCTCCCACGGCTCCTCCCCTGGCTGCTGACCCCTGATTGGTCCCCCCACCTCATTTGGGGGCAGGGCCAGCTGTCCCACTGCCCACAGTCCCTCCCCACAGCCAACTCCATCCCCAATCAGCCCCCCACCCAATTGCCTTCCATCCCTACCCCCAGCCAGCCTGCCCTGATCGGGCCCCAATAAGGGGGAAGCTGGCCAACCTCTCACCGTCTCCTCCTCCTGACAGGCCCAGCCCCAATCATCCCCAATTGGGGCTGGGCTGGCAGGACCCCACCCATGCACAAATTCATGCACTGGGCCTCTAGTTATACTAATAAAGGTGAAACTGCTGATGTGATAAATGTGGTATGGTTAAGGAAAAGTCAAACTGAGAAACCATCTCAGAAAGAAAATTGACAGGACTCATTTGGTTATCAGGGTGTCAGAATAAATAAAAGGCATGTTTCCTGCTCTTTTTCTGAAAGAATATTCAAACTGATTTGTGTGACAAATATTATACATGAAATGACATCAAAGAAGATGTATTCAGTTACAAATTGTGTGGAACAGATTTAAACGACTTTTTAATCAAAAGATTAGATCAATAAGCTATGAATTGTAAATTCTGATTTTGCAGTTAATTCCACTTAATTTTCGCCATCGCTATTCAGTGGGAATGACGGTCCTTTGCTGATGAGACATAGTTACTCTAGATCTTTTCACTTGATTTTTTTTTTTAACTCAGATGTTGCCAGAGCCATTGAATTACTGGAAAAACTACAGGAATCCGGAGAAGTCCCAGTGCACAAGCTACAATCCCTTAAGAAAGTGCTTCAGAGTGAGTTCTGTACTGCTATTCGAGAGGTATGACACTAAGATTCTAATAACTATGTTCAGCCATATGTGTTCTGAATGGAAAACATATATTTTCCACACAAACAATTGAAATAATTAAGATCAGAACTATACCTTTGCCTCCCATTTTAGCTCCTTGGACAGATGGTAAAATATAATTTAGTCTGCTAAATTCTTTATTTAGATTCAGTCAGGATTTATATGGTCATATAAAACCCAAGGTTTATCTTATGGTACCAATAAAGTGACTACCTTTGCAGGTTAACTATTACATGTAAACTATTTAGTGGTCACATGAAGTCATCTGGAAATTCAGTTAGAAATAGTCATAATTAATGAGGGCTGAGATTTTCTTTAAAGAACATTTAACTAAGTCTTTTACAGGCAAATCTGAAAGAGTAATTGCCTACTGACTAAATGATAGTTATCCAAATATTGCTAGGGTAGGGATTGCCAACCTTTTACATCTCATGGCATATACTAGTATAAGCTAATTACTAAAATTCTGTGGCACTCCAAAATATATATTTTTTGCCAATCTAACAAAAATAGGTATCATTTTGATGTATTTATTAAAAAATAATAATAATTATCTACTCTTTTTGTTCTAAAGTTACTTTTATTTTATTTATTTATTTTTAAAATATATTTTTATTGATTTCAGAGAGGGAAGGAGAGGGAGAGAGAGATAGAAACATCAATGATAATAGAGAATCATTGATTGGCTGCCTCCTTCACGCCCCCCACTGGGGATCAAGCCCAAAACCCAGGCATGTGCCCTTGACCAGAATCGAACCTGGGACCCTTTAGTCCGCAGGCCAACTCTCTATCCACTGAGCCAAACCGGCTAGGGCCCAAAGTTACTTTTTTAAAAAAATCAGGTGCCTATACTTGTATATAAGAATTTCTGATACAAAGAATTAACCAGTCAGACACAACTTTATTATGAGAGGTGACCATAAGATGCAACTTTATTATATGACCTATAATTTACCATGCAAGACAGGGTATTCATACCGGATGGCTATTATTGTGTTGGCTATTGTCATTTTTGTATTTGACAATTAAGAGAGAAGAGGTCAGTGCTCCTGACTAAAGAGTCAGGTATTGCATTTTAGACATTCTTGTGGCACATGAGTTGAAAATTGCTGGTCTAGTGCAATAATGGAAAATCTCTGAATAAACTGACCTGCCCTTCTAACAAATCTTTATAATGCTCTCCTGGCTAATGGTTTTAGGATTCCTAAAGTGAAAAAAAAAAGTGTTATAATGACCATTTGAATAGTGTATTGACTTGTGGTAGAATTGACTTGTCAATTAATGAATTTAATTGTTTACAAGAAAGTTCACTTGAGAGATATATGCTATATTGCTTTTTAAATGAAATAATATTCAGTAAACCTATCACCCCTTCCCCATCGTGTACTAAGTGATAATTTCTTAATTAGAACCTAAAGTCCATAAATCCAGTATATATGCCTTGGTAGAAGTCCCTAGTAATGAATTACCTTACATCATCTTCTCCAAGGAGTTGAACCCAATGACTACCTGGAGAGTTTGCTGTAGCAGAGGTCATACACCTCCCTTTTTGCAACTCTGCTTGTGGCTAATGCACATTTAAAAAAATTTTTTTTTAAATAATTAATTAATTTATTTTTTAAACCTAACTCAATGTTTTCATTGATTTTAAGAGAGGAAAGAAGAGAGACAGAGAGGGAGAGAGAGAGAAGAGAGAGAGATATTGGCAGATTGGCTGCCTCCTCTACGTGCTCTGATAGGTGATCATACCTTCAACTTAGGTATGTGCCCTGACCAGGAATTAACCCTGCAACCTTCTGGTATACAGGACGATGCTTCAACCAACAAGCCACTTGGCCAGGCCAATGTACATTATTTTACTGCGACAATGCTAACTATGTGTAGTCACTAGGTGGGAACAATCCAGGTGACTACGGTAGAGACATACAGTACCTCTCTCACTAAGATTTAAACTGCAGCCTACCCAATGTGGTTACATCAATGATGAGAGAAAATCATTGATCGGCTGCCTCCTGCACACCCCCACTGGGGATTGAGCCCTCAACCCAGGCATGTGCCCTGACTGGGAATCGAACCATGGCCTCATGAACTCCTGGTTCCTAAATCAAAACTCAACCATCAAGCCACGTCGGCTGGGCATCAGAGACCTTTTAAAATCTAATCAAGTCTGGTCAAAACTCTTGGAAGGTTTCCTATCATTTATTTTAAAACTGTATTTTGAAACCTATATAACTTTATTAAACAGTGTTGCCCCAATAAATTCAATGAAAATTTAAAAATAAAAAAAGAGAAGTGCAAGTAGGATGTATGATGAATCGTCTGAAAATTACAATGGTGAATATCTGAAAATTAAATTTTATTGATCCGAGAACCCTTTCATTCTTTGTCTCTTGAGTATTGACTGCTATGCTGGCATAAAAAGTTTTGGTTTCTTATTCAAATAATGCTTAAAATTTTTGTGGTTACATTATTTGAATTTTGAGAAATATTTGCTAGTTAATGCTTTCCAGTGTGAAAGTTATGATTTTTTTCATGACTGGTAGAGAAGAAAACAAAAATTACAGTGGCATTATTCTTCGTTGCATTTGCAGAGAAAAAACAGTACAGGTCATGCCATTGCCAACATGACTATAAAATCCACATTACACTAAAAAAGAAAGTAGGGCAAAAAATGCCAAATTTTTAATTGCCTTACACAAGCATAACAGTAGATATTGTTACACGCTGAAGCAATCCCATATTTTGTTTTACATTTTGATTAAATCACTTAATCAGCTCTTGGCATATGTGCAGCTCTTATAAGGGAAAAATAGTTTAATGAAATTTTGCTTTTTACTGAAAATGTATGATTAAAATGTTCTCTAAAATGTTTTTATTTATTTTTAGAGAGAGGAAGGGAAAAAGAGAGTTAGAAACATCAATGAGAGAGAAACCAATCAGCTGAAGAATAGTTAAATGAAATTTTATTTTGTTTTTTACTGAAAGTGCATTATTAAAATGTTTTTTAAAATATGCTTTTACTGATTTCTAGAGAGAGGAAGGGAAAGGGAAAGAGAGATAGAAACATCGTTGAGAGAGAAGAATAGATCAGCTGCCTCCTGTACATCCCCTACTGGGGATAGAGCAGTGGTTCTCAACCTTCCTAATGCTGCGACCCTTTAATACAGTTCCTCATGTTGTGGTGACCCCAACCATAAAATTATTTTTGTTGCTATTTCATAACTCTAATTTTGCTACTGTTATGAATAGTAATGTAAATATCTGATATGCAGGATATATTTTCATTGTTACAAATTGAACATAATTAAAGCATAGTGATTAATCACAAAACAATATATAATTATATATGTGTTTTCCGATGGTCTTAGGCGGCCCCTGTGAAAGGGTCGTTCAACCCCCAAAGGGGTCGCGACCCACAGGTGAAGAACCGTTGGGATAGAGTCTGCACTCCAGGCATGTGCCCTGACTGTGAATCAAACCGGTGACCTCTTGGGGTCTGGGTTGAGGTTCAAACACTGAGCAACACTGGCTGGGCCTGAAAATGGATGATTAAAAGCGATTTTCTGTAATCTGTATGTTTTGTGTATATCAGTACTGAAATACGGCCCTCTGTGTATATAACTAAGAAAGGCATTGATCTATTAATAAATATGTTTCAGTTGAATGCCAATTCACATACAGCTTTATTCAAAGAGTGCTGATAATAGTAGGTGATACTTATCTTGCTTGTGTTTTATTGCTGAAGGAGCTCGAAAGAACCTAATTAATAATTAAGTCGAATCTGTTCTGTGCAAGTAATATCAGAGAACAGGACAGATAAATGGGCTGACACACAATGCTGCTTTTTCATAATAAGAGGTGCTGACTGACAAGAGAAAGTTCACGCACATTTTTGAATGAAAGATAAAATAAAAAATTTTATGGTACTGCCCTGGCCAGTGTGCTCAGTTGGTTGGAGCATCCTCCCTTAACACCAAAAATGTTTCGGGTACAATTCCCAGTCAGGGCACATACCTGGGTTGCAGGTTTGATCCCTTGTTCGGGCATGTGTGGAAGGCAACCAATGTTTCTCTCTCACATTAATGTTTCTTCCTCTCTCTCTCTTTCTCTCTCTCATAAATGAACATATCCCTGAGTGAGAATAAAATAAAACTTATGGTACTGAAAGTCCCAGTGAAAACCATTTCTGTGATTTTAAGTGGCTTCCTTAAATTTTTGTTCATCGCTGTATTAATTAGCTTGAATGATCTAAACCTACACATTAAACATAAGGTAATTTAAGGGTTGAAATGTACATATTATAAAATATTGTTTTTGGATAAAATAATTTCTTAAGAGAATTGGATTGCTGTTCAAATAGCTCTATTGCCAAGAGATGGACTTTCCCCCAACACTTTATATTCTTTGGGCCTCAGAGGGGGAAAAAAATCAATAGTATATGAGTGGTCATATTTTCAGAGGACATCCAATTTCTGCAACAGAATACAAAGGAGTTCTTTCTGAAACTAAAATAATCTAAACTGAACTAGCAATCTATTTACTACCATCATTTTCCAACTTTTAAAACATCCAGGCTTCCTGCTTTCCCGGTGATGTGCTCATTGACCTGGCGTATGAGGTGCTGCTGAGAGAGGTCTGTGGTGAGAACTTACTCCCACACTTATGACTGTCATATGCACGTTTGACCCAAAAATTCAGAACTAAATAACAGTCATCAGAAACTGCCTTCCTTGGGCAGTGACCAGATGTTGTATGTTAGTGTTTTCTAATGTAGTAGGACTGAAGAATAAGAAAATAAGCCGACTCCATATGGAATCTACCATTTTGTGATAGTAGGGTTGCTGAAAAATTAGTCCAGTTCTGCCCTGACTGGTTTGGCTCAGTGGATAGAGCATCATCCTGCGGACTGAGGGGTCCCAGGTTCGAATATAGTCAAGGGCACATGCCTAGGTTGTGGGCTTGGTCCCCAG